CTCATGCATGCAAGGCAAGCGCTCTACCACTGAGCCACCTTCCCAGCCCCGGTTGTTGTTGTTTTTTAAGACAGGGTCTCACTACATAGCTCAGGCGGTCCTGGAACTGGGAACTCTTGATCTACTTCCTGACTGCTGAGATTATAGATTTGTTCCACCATACCCAGCTTCCTTCTTTATATATTTATATTTTTTTTGCCTTTTTCTTTTCTTTCTTTCCCCCAGCAAGCACAAGTCCCTAGGTAGCCCCAGTAACAAAAGAAAAATAAAGGCCATGACCACAACTAGGCTCGCAGGATCGCTCATCCGCCTCTTGGCCTCCACATGGAACAGAACAGAATCACCCCTTCTGTATCCTTCTTGGAGAAAAATGAGTTCTTCACAAGGAGGAAAGCCTAAACCTGTCAAACAACCCACGAGGAAGCCAGAGTTACCAGTTGGCCGTTTTGATGCACCGGAGGATTCCCACTTAGAGAAAGAACCACTGAAAAAATTTCCAGGTGATATTAATCCAGTCACCAAAGAAAAAGGTGGACCCAGAGGCCCAGAACCTACTCGCTATGGAGATTGGGAACGAAAGGGACGTTGTATTGATTTTTAAGTCAAATATTCATTAACTTCATTTTCTGAATCATCTGAATTGCCTATTTCTAGTTATTTTCTGTGTCTTTGTGTAAGTCATCTAATTTTTATTATGTATATAATGGCTTTGGAAGAAAGTATGCTGCTATAACTAAGAACAGGAAATATTTTTATGTTAGCAGGTTAACTAATAAAAATGTATTGGGGTATATAAAATAAAAACAAAGAAAGAAAAATAAAGTTTTCCCCCCCTAAGCGTAGCAAGAATTTTCTCAAGAAACCATCCCAGAGCCTCCAAATTAGGATTATGCCAACTCCCCCAAAGAATGACTCAAACAAGTCCGACTTAAATGAGGAAAATGAGTTTTAGCATGTTCACTTAGGGGAGCGGTGAGACTGTAGGAGACTTTTTACCCAGCTAGCTTAGGAACTCCCCAGGAGATGATCACACACACACACACACACACAGATGATCACACACACACACACACACCCTGCTTCCTGAAACACCAGAACACTCCATCCTATCTCACTGTTGAATTCAGGCTCCTGATTCACTTGGCTCTAAAGTATTCACTTGGCTCTGAAGTCCATAGCAGAAAACTGATCTAGAGCGCCATCTAATGTCAGCACAGCAGCAATAACTCCAAATCAAATGCAAAGAGGACCTTGGAGGAAATGAATGAATGATGTGCTCCTCTCCCGGGTCTTGCTGACCTGTGACCTGTGCAGACACTGTCCTATCTTAGGAGTTGTCGTGCTGCAGTTTGGCACTTAGAATAGCTAAATGGCACCGTGCTGCAAGATGGAGTCTGGATAGGAATCAGAGGACCTGTCCCGTTCCTAAATCAATGAACTTCCCCAAATTGAAGTGCTTTTTCTTTTTTGCTTTTGTTTTTGCTTTTTTTTTTCTTTTCTTTTTTTGTCGGTTGTGGGGCTTGGGCACTGTCCCTGAGCTTTTTGCACTCAAGCTGGCACTCTACCACTTGAGCCACAGCTCCACTTGCCAGTTTATTTGGAAGTTTAGTGGAGGTAAGAGTCTCACAGACTTTCCTG